GAGTTATCAACCCCTCAAGTGTTTGAAGTGCTATTTCATCCACAAGAGAGACACAGATGAATACTAAGAGAGGTTTCTCCAAGATGGTGTGGAAGAGCAAAATCTATGAATGTTTGAATGACTTTCAATACAGTAAAGGTAACTGCACCTCTAAACAGCACCGAGGGTAGGGAGAATGATTTATGCAGATGTGAGCAATGGATGAGGTCTGACTGTCACTAACAGGGGGAAGGTAGATCTCAAAGTGGGTCCAGAAACACACTAAGGAATAGATTTAGATTTTTCAAACTATCATTTGAATTAGTGATCTAGTAATAAGAGCAGGATTTTACAAGGACTAGCTTCTGCTCTCTCCCTTTTGAAATTACAGACAGCATGTAGACAAACAGTGATCACTCTTCATTACAGCATACTAAACACCCCCATCAGTACAGGAACAGGAAGAGAAGTAAATGCCTCCTGCTCTGCCAATGCATAAGACTGTAATATAAAACTGTCATTCATCAGAGCATAGTTCAGGATGGATTAATTCCCAGTAACCCACCAGAAAACATTCTGAGAATGCTGACAGACTGAGTTGCACCATATGAACAGAATGAATTACAGAACTTATTGAACCTAGACCATCTCATCTGGACCATTTTTTGTGATGTGGTTTGTGATTGTCATTCCTTCTATTGATATGTGTGTATGTGCAACCCATTTCTTGCATTTCTTTGTACATATTATCTCTCCTTTCTTCACCTGCTGATCTTTTGGGAAATGTGAGACTAACACATTAAAAACTGTTAAAAGGGTTAGAATTGCTAATTAAAATTTTTAATAAAAAAAAATGCTGCTAAATTTTATAATTAATCCATCCAAATAATAGACTGATCTTCAGAGTTAACAGTGATCTCATTTCACTTATCGATCTGTCTTTGACCAGTTTTTCCAGTTATAAAATCTCTTTATTATTTAATTAATTATATTAATTATTAATTAGGACTCATTTCTTTAACCATAAGCAATAAGAGTAAATCAATAAAATAAAATCAGGAAATAATAATATCCTGATTTTATTTTTTTAAACGGAGCAGTGTAAAAAGTTTCTGTATATTTAACAGAAACTTTTTGGCAGCTGGATGCCCGTATAAACCGTATAAACCTATAATAGTATCTTACTTTTGGCGCTCCCCATAATACTGTTCTAATCACAGAAATCAGTTACAGTGTGGAAAACAGAATATGATAACAAAGAGATTCTTTAAATTGCAAGTTACTACAAGGTTAATTCAAGGTTTGGCAGATAAAGAAGAATAGTAGGTACACTACATTATACATTATTATTTACTTATTATACGTCATGACTGTGGGGATTACCTCAGCGACTTTGCTAGCACTCTGATTTTGAACTGGAACCAATCTGTTGTGTAAATTTTTAAAAAATCATTTTGTTAGAAGAGTGCATCGTGGGTAAGTTTAGTGACCTTTCAGTGGCATCCTTAATGCAGTGGGGCTGGGTGGGCGGGGGCAGTAATGGTAATAATGTAATAAGGTTGCAGAAAGGCTGGCTGCCAACCACATATTTCACAACATATTTATGTTAACAGTACAAGGTAACATTATTCTTTGATGTGTACTATTCTTCTGCAACTCGATAAATGACTTACTGGTAAATTATGCCGAAGTTGTTTAACTGTGTGGAATCAATTTATAACACTTAACGCTCTTGTGCATGCAGGCAGACGCCCTAACGGGGCCCGGGGACTCCGTAGATGAATTAGAAAATAGAGGAAATAAAACTATCTTTGCACTTTTCCCACACTGTTTTCTTCCTGATAATCCGTTATATGTTGAGTCTCACAAACACACACTACCTCGTGTGTGGGCTTTATATTAGTGACGTGAAAGTCTTGACTGCTCCTACTTACAGCGAAACGGTCCTGTTGGGTAAGAAGCTGGGCTGTAAGGTGTCCATCAGATCCACGTCGTCGCACACAACTTTGATTCGGACCTGCTGCCTGCTCAACTCCTTGGACCTCTCAGCGGAGCAGTGACAGCTGTCAATGATCAGATCCGGGCAGTTTCTATTGCTCAGGCTCGACTTGCACAGCAGGACTATTACGCACAATAAAGTCAGCGCCCTCATTGTGGACTGAGATAACTTAAAATATAAGAAGAAGAAAGGGAAAAAAAGGAAAGAAACCCGCTATTTTCAAGTGATGTCGTCCCAGCTTCTGTGACAAACAGGGACCATTTCACATTCACTCCCGTTACAATAAAGTTTCCTCCGTTCCTGAGCCGAAGTCCAGATCCCAAACCCCGCTCGTCACCTGCTGCGCTGTAATGAGCTGAATACTTTCGCTGTTTTATTGCTTTTAAACCAGGAATAAAGTTAAACATCGCGGGTTTTAAATGCTGACATTTCTGAACAACAGTCTTACGAGCCGGCTTCTGTCATGTGCTCTGGAGAAAACTTCCAAAAGTGCGTTTTCAAAGTCAAACTTTTCGGCGACACTACCTTTCGCGCTGGCAACAGAAATCAAGAAATATTCCCTTCACGATCCATTTAAAGTGATTCTGTTTAAACCGCTGCATGCCGTGTTGTCATTCTTTGTCATCACGCAGTTTATGCGCCCTTGGACTTGTTGCGCATGTAGTGTCCCGAAAGTCCCTCCCCGTCCAGTCCTTACAGGCGTCGGTGTGGGCTCATAAACGTCTCATTGCTACAAGAGGCCGTTAGATAACGTCTTGAAGACTTTCGGCTTCTCTTTCTTTCGGATTGCGCTTACTGAAAGCAACAGGGGGAAGAAGCCCGTCCTCTCATCTAAATAATAATCAATGAGTGGGATCACAGATGGGCTAAATTAAACTATTTTCTCGTCTTTGCCACCTCAGAGAGTCCCCGGAGGTCCTCTAGACCCATGATTTCTCAAACACAAACATTTACACTGCCTGATGAAAAGTGCTGCTGTTTGTTTTAGTCTCTTCAGTCACTTAGGGACGAAGGAACCGGTTTGTATCCAATTCCCGTGACCTGTACACAAACTGAAAATGAGCCACAGCGCTGGTGAACAGGCGAAACACACATTTTCGGGGGAGAAATGGCTTGAATTGTGATCTTGGGAAACATGATGTTCTACTATTTTACATGCCCCCTAAACGAAAGTAGAATCTTGTTTTTAACTCGGCTTTGATTTGCTGCAGTGAGAGGCTGCTGCAGATGTTGGCATTTTACGAGCAGAGGACAGACTTGTAAACCTGGCGTTCATTTCACTGATGGCAATAAATTAAGAATATGAGCTGGAAGGTTGACACAGTAACGCATTGTTGGCCTCATGAAGATGATTAATGAGTAAATACAGAAAAGACTATTTTAAATGTCTTTATGTTTTAGGATTTAGAGGTACTTAAAAGAGAGTGTGAACTGGGGCATTTCTTTGAAATTAGATTAACTTTGATGAGCTGAATTTTAGTTTGTTTGTTTTTTTATTCCATCCAAGATGTCATCTGATTCCTCTTGAGACAGAAAGCAAACAATGTGGACCAATACCTGTCCTATAATGTGCACTTATTCTTATCAAGCAATAGTGACTTTGAACAGCCCACACGATGTATCCAGTGACATCAATCTCGTCTCTCTCTGGGGCATAATCTGTACAGAGGGCTTGGCCCCAGGGGGACAGAAGCTGAGACAGCTGGCTAGTTAGGTTCCCCGGGGCCAGGGTGAGGTGCTTCCCCTGTGTGTTTGTGTGTCCATGTGCATTGCACCCTGGGCCAAAATCCTCCCTCATTATCCACATTGTCTCCGGCACAGGCCCGAGAGCACAAAGGAGGGTTTGAAGCCGCTCCCACTGACCCTGCAAGCAGCCCGTGTTTCCTATTCTTCCGTTTTGACAGGCAAACATGGACTCCCTTTCTCTCCATAAGAGCAGCTATACTGAGAAAGACACAACCTTCCCTTCTCTGTTTATCCACATATGGAGACCCTTGTGCTCCCATGACACCGCCTCAGAATGTCAGTCACATTTGTTTACACAGATGTATATTTACCTCGTACCTCTAAGTGCAGAGGAGAATCTTACCCACCAGCTGACCTCTGGGGAAGCCAAAGAAAAGTCACTTGATGTAGCTGACATCAACATTTGAAGTGATCCATCTTTAATAGACCCTAAGGAAACCTTTCCTTGGATGCAAGCCATGACTGTTCACTGAGCTACTTGTATGTTCTTAATGGAAAACAGATCCATGTACTCGAGTGTGTTCTATAAAGGTTTTCCTGTCTGGCAGCGGCTATATTTTCACACCAACAGCCTCTTCTGAATGGCACAAACAACTTTAATTGAAACTATGAAATCCCGCTGAACATTATTGTAAAATAGTGCTGCAGTATTAACTCAAAATAAAACCTCATTAGTGCACAATGAAGTGATGGAGTCAATCCTGGTCAAGCAACGCAAACATGTCTGTCTGCAGAGCATGTTCTTGTGTTTTCCCTCGTGCACATTAGTGTTCACAGCTCTCCATTATTACTCTGTGACAGAGATGAATAGACCCTGGCTGCAAGCAATCACAGTCCTCACTAAATATTTACCTGCTGAACTTGAAGAGGCCAGGGTACAGCAGGATAAGAGTTACTCATTATTAGTCCATGACTTTTCGGATAAAGGCTCGAGGTGTTCAAACTTGTTCCGTTAATATGGAATATTGCACTTAAAAAAATTGTTGTTTTAGCTTTAAGCAAATGCGACAGGTGGTTTCTAGTTTCATAATCGTTAATACTGGTGTTATCTGAAGGGTGTGAAAGAGTAATAAAAATGTACCATAATGCCCCATCTGTGTTTTGGCCGGAAGTAAGACAGCGACGGTTGAAATGATCCCTGAATTAAACATACAGGTGAATTTAAAGCGAATGCTCTTTGGGCATGTGAAAAGCAGTCATGTAATATTTATATGACTTAGAAAATAAAATTGTGGGGCCTGCATTAAGGGCAATACCCAGAAAAGTCGTGGAATCATAAGTCTGCACTTGAGTCAAGTCCAACAAACTGTCAAACAAAAGTTATATAAACTATAAGATTCTCATTTACTGACTTGTTTTAATTTCTCAGTCTCACAGACAAAGAAATTTAAAACTACAATAATTGGTATTTGTGAATGCACAGCGGGACGGACTATTGCATCTGACTGAAAAGAGTGGAACAAAGATTTATTCATCAGTTGTACAGCCACACTTGCCTCAATGAAAAACAAAGCCTCAAACTTTCCTGGAAAGAGTTTGGCTCAAAGTCTTAGCCAGGTGACGGACTGGAGACCTGTCCAGGGTGTACCCTGCCTCAAGAGCGGTGACAGGTTCCAGCCCCACTAACAGCCCTAAATTGGATAAGAAAATGAACGTGTACAGATGGACTGATGTCACCAGGACTTAAAAATGAGGCTTAAAAAGCTCTTTTTTGGGGCAGGATTCTTTTTTGCTTTTGTTTATAGGTCAGTCCAGAGTGCCGAGATGATCGACGTTAGTTCAGCCAAAAAAAGGAAAAAGATCAACACAACTCAGCTGTAAACATGGATGAGTGGAACAACACAATTGGGTCTTTGAAGGCATTAGGTGGACAACTGCAATTTGTGCCTTTATGTAGTTCTCTAATCCTAATATCCTATTCCTTAAGAATACTTCCATAAAAATAACAAGACAGAACCTGCGTCCCCACTAATCCTCTGTATTTATTACAAATATGTGTCTTTATGTGTAATGTATTTAATATGGATGTCTTTTGCATGCGTAATCCATTCATTTAAAAGCAAAGTTAGTGCATATTGCTGTCCATTATTACTGATTAGAAACTTGTTCTAAAGAACTGTGGCAGGTTCATTTCCAAATCCCAAGAGGTCATGAGTCTATGACTCAAATATGAGCTGTCCACACATCTATTCAGCATAAACAAGCAATCTTTTTTTCCCTACCATATTCCCATGTGCTTGTGGGAGTCTGAGAAAATGCGAGTGGGCACTAGGCACCTGTGACATGTATTGTTGTGACACAACTAACACCAACATGAGCCCATGGCTTTTAACCAGCTTAAAGCCCAGAGGATTTTAGTCAACAAAAGTCAAGTCGAATCAAGTCATACATGGATTTTTTTAGTGCTTCATCATATGAGTGAGAACAAAGGAGAAGAAAATGCAGCACTTAGAGACAAGAGTGGCACACATCTACGCTGATACGTGGATGCAATTTTATTTTATTTTATTTATATAGTGCACAAAACACAACAACAGTCACCTCAAGGTGCTTTGTATTATAAGGTAAGACCCTACAATAATACAAAGAAAACCCCAACAAACAGACAACCCCCACAAGGAAGAAATTGGCAACAGTGGCAAGAAAAAACTCCCTTTTAACAGGAAGAAACCTCCAGCAGAACCAACCCAGGGGCAGACATCTGCTGTGATGGATCAGAGATGAGGGGAGGGAAACAGGACATAAGGACACAGAGCTGAATTGTAATTCAAAGCAGAGAGCATGAAGTACAAAACAGTAGAAAATCTAATAACATGTTATACACCAAACAATCTGGTTTCCCCTCTTGGTTAAACAAGGTCTTGGGATGAATTTACCAGCAATAAACTGAGACTCACTATAATAAGGTGCCAAGAGGATTTGGGAAACCAGTGCTACTTTTAAACTTGAGAATGGACGACGCTGCGGTGCGAGCTGGCATGTCGGCGCTTCTGCAGCGACTGGGTGGACCCACTGACCACCAACCACCGCGGCACGGCGCAAGGACTTGAGTAAAAGTTTGGAGCGTGTATAATGACCTAAACAGAGATGTCTAGAGTGAATCTTTGGAGGCCCTTTTATGAGAGTGCAGATTTGTTATTGCCTCCGCAGCTTTCTCTCACTCTCCGTCACCCGAGAATACAAGCAGAGCACCACAAACCAGATGCCAGCAATGAGCTTGAGCTCCAGTCGTTTTCACCTCATTTACAAACAGGGCACATGACAGCTTTCGCAATGATATTGTTTTCAAGGGAGGCTGCGGACAATAAGTCGAGTATATTCATTTGTAATCACTCTTTCCCCCGAAGTCTCATAAAAATCTCTGCACATAAACTCCTCTCTTGTTTTCACATCTCAATACGGTCATCATGAAATTTCATCAGCCTGCTCATTTGTCATCATTAGCGCTGATGGAGGTCGCTCTGCTCCCGTCTGTCGATCCACAACAATAAGTCAGAGACAAATAAAAGCTGCACAGGCCTGACGTACTGCCGCTTTTATTTTGTTGCTTTGACAAGCAGCATTGGCGGAGAGACACGGTCCGACTCTGTCTGCGGTGCAGCGCTGAACTCGGCCTTATAAGTATTCTAGCCTCTCTCCATAATCCCAGCTGCGTGAGCGGGGGACCCAATGAGAGGATGAGGTATCCTGGGAACATTTCCTGACAGAAAAAGAGAAAAAAGGGAAGGAAAGGGCAGAGAAATAAAAGAAACACAAGTAATTTTTAACTGCATTTACAGTCTTAAAGCAAGTCATGTAAATAACAAAATATTGAAAACAATCTACCAGCAGGGTGCATAAAATTCACTTGCTCCCTTGAGCTCCTCTCTGTCCCTCCTTAAAAAAAAGACAAGTGATATTTCAAAACATCACGCTGATCCTTTGGTATAAAGATACTCCTTCCTGTGGCT